TATCCAGATTTAGAAATGATTAAAGCAGGAAGCAGCCTTAGAGATCAAGCAGTTAAAATACCTCCTTGTAGAAATGAGGAAACTGAGTTCCAGGATGGAGCAAGATCACAGTCTGGGATGTTCAAAGTCAAATGAGTGAGTGAGTGGTAGGAAGGAGGACCACAGCAACCAGCCAGCAGTTTCCTCAAAAGGTATCATAACTTCCTTCTTTTGGGGGAAGGGGAGTTCTTCCACTTCTAGGTTTGAGAATCATTAATGTTGAAGCCTCCAGAATAAAATCCCTGCCTTAGAGAAACTCCCAGAAAACCACCTCCTGGCTAAAAGAACCAGGTCATGGCACCTGCATCTGCCTGTGCTCCACACATTTCCCTCACACCAGCCGGCACGTCACTCACCCAGGAAGGCAGAAGGTGAGACGGTCCCATTGCTGCGTGACACCATGACGCTGATGCCAGTCTCTATGAAGGGCACGGAGAAGTCAACCACCTCGGAGCGCTCCTCGTTGATCGTGAGCGAGCCCACCGCCATGTAGGCCCTCTTCATGACCACCTGGGGCAAAGGACAAGGCTGCCATGAGACCCTGCAGGGATCCTGGGGCCACCAACACCTGCAGCTTGGTGCTGATTTTCTCTGTATAGTGGCAACAGCCATGACTCTTTGCTGCTTTATGTTTTATGACACGTGTAACATGAGCATGTTTTCTATTGAAACAAAGGAGCTAAGAAATGGAAGGACCTTGCTTCCAACACTCACCTCTCCGATCATACCATTCCAGGTGCCATTGATTTTCTTGCCGTGCTTCCCATTGGTCACCAGGTAAAGGTCATAGGTAAACTTCACAGATTTAGAAATTTTCTTCAAGATATCAATACAGAACCCCTTGCAGCATTTCTTGATGTAACCTGGCTCCTCATCTGTTTTATTCCTAACCAATGAAAGAAACAGAGAACAAGGGCAAAAGATGACTCTTTGTCTCCAGCCCTCATACTGGCTCCCTTCACACACAGCTCAGCCCAACTTATGGCAGAGTTGAGTAGGGAAATAAATTGGATCCCAGAGGGATAACTCATTCCTAACTCATGACGTGGCACCCCGTTGCTCACATTTTATAAATGTTCACCTGAAGTAGGGTGAATACCAGGAAAGTGCTTGTCCTAAGCATGGATCTTCACACATTGAACCTTCCACATAGCCAGCACCCAAATCCAGACAGACAAGTTAGTAGCATGTGGGAGGCCTCTCACTCTGCCTTCCAGACATTTCCTACCCTCAACAAAATCACCCTCATCCTGATTTCCAACAGTAGATTCATTTTATCCATTTTCAAGAATACTCCTGAATGTTGAAACTTCAGAACATGCTGGCCCATATTGACACCAGTGTTCATTTATTCTCCTTAAAGGGAAGGTCCTGGTGGACCCTGAGTTCAGGCTAGGCCAGCGTTGGAAACTCTCCCAGGTTCTGGTCTGAATGGAACCAGCCACCTGACCACGGACTCCAGAGCCCTCAAAAGTCACACCTAGAGCCCAACTCAGTCTAAGGTTCAGGGCCCAGCATGAACAGCTGGGTGGATCATGCCTCCCATGCTACCCGGGACCCCAGGGAAGGGGTCATACTCAGTGACGATGCGTTTTTGACAGGGGACTGTGTTCCTCATGCAGGTCCCGCTCAGAGGGTCCACACTCTCCACAATGACAAACGGGGCCTCCTCCAAGGTGACGATGCTCAGGTGGTCATCTTCCTGCTCTTCGGTCTCCGGACACATCCGGGGCCACACGTAGTACTTCATCTGCAGGGACTTGTCTTTCCACTTCCCCACCTGCACGGGGCAAACAGGAGACTGAGAATCAGTGGCAGAGACAGGACAGTCTGTCCTCGTGTGGCCTGGGCAGCTGGGTACCGTGGGTCAGAATGGAGGGGAGGCTTTCCGACCACATAGTCAGAAGAGAACCAAATCTAAGGCAGGCCAGCCATTCACCGTCTTGTCCTATACCAAATACAAAAGGAGACCTGATACCTGCCGGCTGCCCTGCTGAGCCCCAGGGTGAAGGAGGCATCATTATGTCCTTCATCAAGCTCATACTGAGTGAAGGTATCAAACACGTGATCAAATGTTTATCCGGCTGTGCGCTAAGTGCTAAAAGGGAAGCCGAGGCCATGCTCTGAGCAGATGCCAGCCTCTCCTGTGTGGCTGCCGGGCTCTTTCTACTTCACTGTAACAAGGAGCAGGAGAGTGAGAGCAGCAAATAGCTTTGGAAAGGTCAGCAGAATGATTGGAGCAAATGAGCCAGAAGGATGTGTTTTGGCTTGTAGCTGAGCTCCAGTGGGAAGTCATGTGGAGAAATGGGTGGATCGGAGTTGGAATGAAATGATAAATTGGGATTAAGGAATACTCACACAGCATGGCCGGGAAGGGGCTGGGTGGCACTGCAGATGAATGTTATGGTCAGTGCAGAGATGCATCTACCAGGCTGGGAGGGAGGCCCAGGGGGAACCATCTAGGTCTCTCTGGGAGCTTTCACACAGGGCCACGCAGGCTCTGTACCCCAACTTCATAGCACCTCCACTATGAAAGGTAGGAATCCCCGGAATCCTGCATCAAGTGGCCTTGCTGTCAGTCATCAGGAGATGTGTGTGGGCTCCATTAAGTTCTAGAAAAGCCAGTCACTCCTTTTATAATGCAATCTATATGACTTTGTTGGTAGATTCTTGCTCTTGCTCTACCATTGAGTTTATTGGAAAAACAAGGCCTGCCTACCTTTTAATTTTCTATAACTGAACATCTTTTATTATCACAAGGAATCATGGATTGCAAGCTCCTGCATCTTCCCAGTCTATAATTTCCTCCAAGCAGTAACACAAATTAGTCACATGGCTGAGGCTCCAGGAATACAAAGCTACTTACTTTATTAACTATGTGTAAACTGACCAGAAGCAACAAATCAGATTCCTTGGTAAGTTCCAGGCAAAGAGGCTTAGATCTCCCTACCAAAATCAAACCCAAACCCTCTCCTTTCTGTTTCTGCTTTTGCCTTCACTTAGATTCTGCTCAGTGCCTCCTCAGGTGTGGTTCGTACCTCCACCTTACCCGTACTACCAACTTTCAAGAACACGTGCGGTCAGCACAGCCCCTGCTATGTTGAATTGTATCACTGGACTGTGGCCAGTGTTGGTAACCCAGACTATTTTGGTTGGCATTACTGGAACGATGGCTAGTTTTCCACCAATTATGTAAACCTTAATCTCACTACTCAGTTCAGAATCAGGCACGGAGCCAACATTTGCTTTTCTTTTTAAGTATAATCTTCTCCACACCACTGGTCCTGATTTGGGGGCAAGTCTGTTTTTGTTCCTATTGCTAAGACTGACTTTTTCTAAAGCAAACATTTCCAAAGAGCTTTCTCGTTAGATAGAGATGCTAAATGATTTCTAACAGTGGTCAGGAGAAGGTGGTGCTTTGGAGAGGGAGACCCTGCCCTGGGGACCCACGATGTAGGGCCAGTCCCATCTCCCAGCAGCCCTCTGAGCCCAATGATCACACTGATTATTGTGTTCTGTGATGTGAAGAAGGTTGGGATGCCCTAAAATACCACTTTAACTTTTTTCATTACTATCATCTTCCTCCAATCCAATAATGCTTTTGTATTTCTTTCCTTTTAATCCAAATTTACCTTCACACACACACAAAAATTTACCTTCACCCATCTTTACCACTAATAGCATTGTCCAGGAGCCCAGCAACCCATTCTGAGATTATTGTAGGAAATTCAAATCCACACAAGGCTCCCCCTAGAGACCACTGTGGGTACTGCTACCAGATGGCTTTTCTTAAAACATCACTTTGCCCTATAATCCCTATTCAGAAATGTCATTAACCTCCCACTGTCCTTAGGATTCTGTCCAGACTTCTCACCTGGATTGCCAAGGTCTGTACATTTATCATAATATGCCTTGATGCAGTCAATGTCACTATTTTGAAACAAGAATCCTTTGGTTGGGAAAGGAAGTTGTTGGTATTGGGAGCTAACCCAGGTTAATCAGGAATAGGTTTCAACATGCTAGCTGTATTTTCTTTTCTGATAAACTTTCTGTATATGTGAAACAAAGATACTGCAGACACACCATTGTGACGTTTCCCACAGCACCCTTGCAAACAAGATGGGATATAATATAGATATTACATACTAGACAAATTTGAAAGGATTTAATATCCATGTCAAAAAAATGTTTTATGAATCAATGGCAATATGAAAAAGAGGCTTGTCAGGGGACTCTGCTCTGTTCTTAGAAGTGACCTGTAATTGTGTTTCAGAAAATAAAACAGAAGCCAGGCTCACAAAACTGCAACTAATACGGTGGATAGCAGATACTGACGGCATTGTAGAATCAAGGCTGAAAGTGATATGAATTAATTGGAATAATGGACTGAACAAAATGTAAGCGTATGTATACTTAAAGTCCAGCCTTTGAGATTTTAAAAAAGGCAACTGAACATTGAAATGGAGAGATTTTAATGAAGAGTCATCTAAAAGCTATTGCAATAATAATTGGCATCTTTATAGACTTACAGTGTCTAACACATGGAGTGAGGGGAAGGCTGGATGGTTCCACACTCTTCTCTGTTGTTCCTCAGTCCATAGCTGGGGAACTAGGTTCTGGTTCTATGAACGCATGATTTTTATTTACTGCATCATTCTCATTTCCCAAACAAGAAGGTGTTCAAGCAGTGCTCCTTGGGAATAGCCTTTTCCAATTTCTTATCAAGCTAGCTAGATCATGTCCTTGCTTCACTTCAATGCAATTCAACCAGCAACAACTGTACAACCATTTGGGGCTATGTGCTAGAGATAACAATACCAGGTGACATGTATTCCAGGCTTCCTAAGTGCCAGGCACTGAACATAACTTAGTAATGCTCTCCCCTCCCCCACCATCATGGCAAGCTTGTGAGAGAGACCCCTCACTAATATCTCATTTCACAGATGAGAACGGAGAGCTGGATGGCATGCCCAGAGTCTCCTGGTGAGAGACAGCAGTGTCAGCATTTGAAGCTCAGGAGCCTGGGCTGTTACCCAGCACACGGCACTGCTTCTCTGACGGTGAAGGAAGAGACTTGGTTCCTGTCCTTCAGGAATGGTCTAGTGGGAGAAGACACAGTGAAAGAGATTACAGGTTAGGCTTTGTAACTACCCTTAATACTCTGGGATTTAGAGTAGGAGGAGGTATTCCTGAAAGGCTCAGAGAAAAGCTTGAGGGAGACCTTCTTTACACTGGGTTTAGTCTGTAAATGACAGCTCATTAGGTCAAGAGTATTTTACCCACTGAGGCAAGAATAGTCCTTCCCAGCTGAAAGGTATGACATGTGGGGAGAATGTCTAGCTCAGTTCTGCTCCTTCTTAAACACCTGTTCACTCCAGCCAGCCAACACCTTACCCTCAGAGTCAACAGGATTGTACCCTTCTCTATCCAACTCATTCAGTGAGTCAGGTTGGTAGGCAGGAAGCCTGAACTTGGCCATGGCACCATGAGTTTTCTCAGCCCAACCCCATCCTATTTGTTAAACTTTAACCCAATTACCACAGCCTGGAATCACTAAATCATCATTTCATGCTGCTGACATTTTAACTTCAGCTAGATTCCAAATATGTTCCTAAGTATTTCTGTGACTATGGACAAATTTGCAACAGGTACATCCGTTCACCATCAGGATCACAGGATGTCTTTGGGACAGAGGTTCTCTATAGACCTCATCTAATCAGAGTCCAGTGAAAATATGTCCTCTGGGGTTATTTCCTGCAGTCAGAGAGGTATCTAATTTGTTTACACAAAAGGTTAACTTGTCTGAAAATCACGATTCTTCTTTATTGCTTCAAGGATGACTGCAATGAAAAGGGAAGCTGAGTTCCTTGAGGACTCGAAGAAGGAAGATTTTTGAATAAAAACCTCTCTGCCCTGAATATCAGGTTCACAAGGCCAATTCACAGGATTTGTGTTAAAGAACATGTTCAATTCCCTTGGATATTTTGTGGAGCAAGGCCGTTCGAAACAAGTGAACAATTAAAATTAAATAAAATGGGAACTACTTAGATAAGAGGACAGTAAATGTTCCGAGCAATTCTTCCTTACAGGCAAGGAAGTATGGTGATGGTATTATAAATGGGAAAGTTTCTGAGTGATCAAGAGAGAAACAGATGCCTGAGACACTGAATGGAAAAGTCTGGGATGTTGCCCTAGGGTGCCCGAGCTAGTGAGTGTAGGTAAGTCTAGAAATACAGAGCCGAAAGAAACGAGGTTAATGGGAGATATTTCAGAGAAAATCCAGTGAGGAAACTGAATGAAGATTTTACAGTCAAGATTAAAATATGATCACGAAAAAGAAAATAATGAAGAAAATGTCTGTAAAGCATCTGAATTCCTTAGTGATAAGCACTAAACAAACATCATTACTACAAGCACATTTAACGACAACATCTGTCTATAAAAAATGCAGTTCTCTGCCATACTAACATTTTAAAAGATCTCTTGAGATCTGAAATCATCTTTCTCAAGAGAAAAAAAAATCTCTGATTAGTTTTCTCACAAAAACATGGCGTCACTTTTAGGGTTTCTGGTTGGGTTCTCTTAGTACAAGCTGAACACCTGTTCAGCGGGAATTTTCCTCAGAATGGAGTCTACCTCACAAACCTACAGCATATTACTCCATAAAACCCTCCCTTATGAAAATTATAGAGAATCTATCTGGTTATTTCAGACTTCAAAGTCTTCCGACTACTAACAGATTCTCTCCATTACCACCAATGGATTGGTACCATTTAGTAC